CGATAATTATTATGGCCTTTGGTACGTCCTGTATATTCTCTTCACAGAGAAACAAGTATCCGTGAAACATGAGCCGATGTATCGCGCGATAAACGGTCGATCTCTCGTGAAATATTGTCGGTACCACGATTCACAATATCCAGGCTGTCGGAGATTCGGGACGGCGCGGCTCGTAGCGCAGCGCCCGGGGGATTCGCAGCTTATACGGGTAGACTGCGTTTCGGGATGCGCAACGCACCAACAAGTAACCCCCGTATAATCTGTAAGGGCGCGGAACGAATGCGATCGAGACTGGCCCCGCTGATCCGGAAATAATCCCAGGAAAAGAAGATAAAGAAAGATAGAGCTAGATAGATAGAGATACTCTTTCTTTCTCCCTTGTGTTTGATAGCGCACGAGTACCTGGGGGGTACTCGTGGTATTATGCCCCGCTAGGAACATGCAGTCGTATGTGTATGCCCGAGAGACTTCGCGGGTTATCCTGAATGAGAACGGACGGACCGCGCCAACGGAGGTTGGGTATTGTCCGATTCGAGATTCGTCGAGAGCGATCGAACGGCTCTGGCCGGGGTTTATTGGAGGCTACATGCGCTCATCTCGCCGATACTTGCGCGTCGATGTTCGTTGTGTACATCAATTCGATCGTTTGGAATTTGCCGTAGTGCTCTGAAGTGGGAGCCGCTGATCGTCAGCGAGAATTTTTATCATAGAGTATTCTTCTCGGTCAGTTCTCTACGAGTACTGTAGAAAATTCTCCTTGAGAATGTATTACACATACCTTTTAACAAAATGAAAAAAATTACAGATTTTTCTATGTTGTATCTGTGTGAAAGTAATACAAAAAATTCAACGATGATTTAAAACTTGTGGATAAAAATTATTCCAATAAAAAGTAGATAAATATTTTTTAAAAATAAACAAAATGGACTAAGAAATTTTTTATTTAAACTATAAAATTGTATTGTTAAATACAAATATTTATCTCTATTATTGAACTTTCGTATGTATATAATATTCATTTTTATATGAAATGTATTAATTTCCAATTTCAGTCCACTTTTTGCAGAATTTATACATCAAATATATCTTTAATATATACATATATATATATATATATATATTAGGTGTAGCAAAAAGAAATCCATTATTTTTCCATTCAATTTCATGCAAAGATAATGGATTTCTTTTTACTACACCTAATATGTAATAAACGATAATAGAGATCGATTTTTCAGTTCTAAAGTATTGAAGAAAGGATCTTGCAAACTGAGAGAGACTCACAATAAGTTCTAAAATTATGAATTTATTGCTAAATTATAAAATTTACAATTAAAGTAATTTATAGTTATTTAATGTTAATTACGAAATAATGTTTTCTTTCACATGCACGAAAAAAAATTCCCGCGATTCCCGTTCTATAAAAATAATATTACGCAAAATGTGCTTTCTCTGAAAAAGGTTCAGATATACAGGGAAAAAATTGTTTTAAAAATAAAAAGAGTAATTACAAAAAGACGCAAATGTATGTTTATTAAGTGAACATTCCATAAATAAAGATAAAATGAGATATAGGAAGAAAAGAACTTGATTAGAAAATTTGTAAAGAAGCATTCTCAATTCAATTTCTTCTAAATGTAATTTAGATTTAGAATAAGAAAAGTACAAAATGTACAATATTTACATAGCAATTAATTAATTAAAAATATATCATCCGTTTATAGTTAGACATTTAAGGAAAAAGTTATAATTTCTGCAATATTATATGTATGGTATGATATTTAGAAAGTAGCATACAACATTTATGATAATACAATAAAATAAAAGGAAAGTATTAATTATCAAGTTTGAAATTACACGAAATTATTAAAAAAAATATATATATCCAAGCAAAACATAAAGTCATAATGACATCAAAATGATTATTAAAAGTTATTTTTCGATCAGTTACAATTTTAACATCAAAATAATGTTGTCGTGATTGTCGATGATTGTTTTCTTTGGGTATATACGTATTGTGAAATCGTCTATCCAAAAAATGCTAAAAAGATTAAATACATAATAATTTATTTTATTAAATACGAGATGGATAACTCGGTATTACTTTGTATTAAGCAAAGTAAGGTAAGACAAATTGAATTCCGGGGGAGGGGGGGGAGGGGAGAGATAGTATGATAACGCTGATTTATTCGCGCTTTTGTGTTCAGTGTAAAATCGCTGAAATGGATTATCCAACGATTTTGGCGGAGCCCTTCGATTTACTGACGATGGCGAACTGGTTTGAAAGCGAATTCGGTCGATGAGACCGACGTTTGAGAGGAAACGAGCGACGAGACGGACAGCGACCCAGCATCGGTAGAAAGAGATAGGTAGAGAAAGAGAAAGATAGTGATGCCGAGTGAAAGTCCTCTAGCAAAAACCAGGCCAGGGCTTCGGATATCTTGGCGCAAACACTATAGCCATTATGCAATTACGACGACGCATTTACCGCCGTCTGTTCGCGCGTTGTATCGCCAAGACGCAACCGCGTCTCCGTTTTTCTCTTCGCAATTACCTTCTAAATCGCGAAAAGTTTTCAAATTACTACCGCAGTCGCAATGAATGTTCGCACGACATTGCGATATTGTTTTTATCGATTAACAATGACCTACTCCTACTGCGATCAAATGCCACGTGAAATAAGGCCTTATCTGATATCGCAGGATTATCATTTTTCTTTCCTTTTCACAACGTAACACAAATATTCTTCTGATCTATTTGGAGTTTGTTAAACGCCTTCACGTTTTCAAATAAAACAGATTTATAGATTTAAATACTTCAACTTCTTTATTTTAAATCGTATGTAAAATTTCAATAATAATGTTACAAAAACAAATACAGAAAATGCATTGAAACCGAGAGAATAAATACATCGAAAGAATTTATTGCGTATCATCCTTCTCGAGGTAATAGTAGAAGGTAAATCAAGGTTGTAAATATATTGCTTATGGTTATATTAAATTTTGAGTCCTTGCTTCTCTCAGATTATATCGCGTCAGATGTACGTTCGTATATATATATATACGTATATATATATATATACGTATATATAAATGTAACATTGATGTTAAATCGTTTGACCTTAGAAAGAAGGGCAATATGGCAATACTCAAGTAACAAGCTGACATCATTTGTCGTCAATAGAAAGAGTTTTGCAATATCGTTTATCCAAATGCGATGAACGCTAAGATCAAAGTTTTCTTCTTAATAACTAATTAAGAAAGGATAACATGATTTTAATATTCATTGTATCTGGATCCATATTGTTGCAAAAACTCCCTATTATTTGTCAAAATGACATTTAATATTGTTAAAATAGTGACAAATATCGACTTACTACTTAGATAATTTTTACAGCAATTCGTTCACGTTTCATGGTACCCATGTAATCTTAAGTTTTTATACTACTTCTGTTTATATAATATATTATGAATAGCTTGATCAGATAATGATTGTGAGGTAATACATCTGTGCAGAGAGAGAGTTAACGTGGATTACACAGAGGATTTTGACGAAATTTATGAAATTGTCATGTATTTTTTTCTTGAAAGATCGAGAGGCCAGAGCGAATATTCCACTAGGAAATTTTCCCGCATCCGCTTGTGCCACGAACGGAAGGCAACGTAATTTAAATCGCTTTGTAATAACAAGACTTGAAATACGAATATTACCGCAAAATAATGGAGGCGGCATAATAACAATAACTGTAGGTAACTACTTGCATTGCTTCTACAGCACGATGCACTGCACGTGAATCCATTTTAAATTATTATATATATGACTGCACAACTCTTTCAGAATAAACGCCATAATGCCAGTCTATTATGAGCTGAATAAATATATTAACTCTTACGATATGCGGAAAAATAGCTGTTTGCGTATTCATATAATGTATACATTTCCATCTAAATGTTACAGTATGAAATAATACTAAACATTAATGCTAGTTTAGCAGTAATGCAAAACTAAACTGCTTTGGATACATGAATTAAATAAAAAATTCAGATTAATATCAAAAGCACAAATAAAATGCGATAAATTGTTATAGTACATGATTTTATATATACATCCCGTAATTATAATGATTAAGTAAGAAAATAAAATTAAAAAAAATATTTTGAGAAAATGTAATTAAAAATATATTTTATCTCAAGTCTTGTATTCTCAACAATACCAAAAAAAAAATTACAGAAATTCATATAAATAATTTTTCTAATTCAATTTTTTCAAAACTATTTCATGTCAGAAAAGCGATGCCTGAAACACTTTCAGAAAGCAAGCAAGAATTATATTATATGAGCGATTTTTTTTTTTATCTAAGTCTGTTTCTTTATAGTTAAATTAGAATGTACACTCTTTGTACTTAAAGTGAATTAGATACAATTAATAAGAAATAAACATCTTTAACGATCAAGCTGGATCTTAGGTGCTAAACAATTCAATGTGAATTTATATTTTATTATATATATAGTCATTTAACTTGCGCTCTGAATTGAATTAGATATACATTTGAAATTTGGCAAAAACAAGAAGAAATCCGATGTACCTAATCCAGACTGCTTTCAGAAATTTCATCCGTGTATCCACCCACATGTAGTCCATCCACATTGAAAAAAAATTGTTTATTTGACTAAATTAATTTAGTGTGTCTTTATTTCTTTCGATGAAGAATACATGTATACGTATACATGTTTCATTGAAAGAAATAAGGACAAACTAAATCATATAATCAAATAAACAATTTTTTCCTCGATGCATATATCATTTTATTTAATGTGTAAATCGGTGAACAAGGATAAAATGATACTTGGATGAATTCGGTGAAGCTTCTGAGCACAGCCTAATATACAATAATAAAAAACAAATCTTTAATTTCTCTGGATTGGCATGATGTCGCATATTCCGTCACACATTCAACAATTGCATTTTGCTCGTTGACCGTTATAATAATCGAAGGGACTTACCGAGATGTAATGTGGCGAGAGAGAACAAAAGTAAACCGGAAATAACTCGCTGTGGCATCGCGTCCATTTTTCGGTGGTTTTCCGGCCACTGCGGGTCGAGTCCTCTTCTTTTCCGTTACTGCTGCAGACAGTGGTGATGATGGCACATGTACACACACACGAACCACACGCGCGCACTTATATTCGATCTGCAATTCGAAAAGAACACCTCGAATGAGCCTCGCGTTGATCTTCTCCGCGGACAAATCCCGTCCACCACAATCTTTAATTTGTATATAAGAACTACGATACGTTGGCTAATTTAAATTTTAAGTTATTCTCGATAATTAATTGCGTGCAATGCGAATTGAAAGAAATTTCGATTTGTGAATTAAAAGACTTTAACGCGACGTATTTAAAACGTCGGAAGAAAAATCATCGGGTCGGCAATGAAAAAGACTTGATAACGATTTGAGAAGCGATCTAAATCGTAAGAATGTAACATTGAGATAAATGTTTTTATTTGGATTTATAATCTTACATGACACGAGAAGAATATTTGGAGAATAAAAAGATACTGATACGTCGACAAGATATTTGCAGCTCTTGATATGCGTCAAGTGATGCAGAATCGACGAGCGATTGTGTTCAATGTTCAATACGCACGAGGAGCGATCGAATCGATGGTAACGATCTACCGGCTGAAAGCCGACTGAAGAGAAAATTCGACATCGATTACGTGGCAGCACACCTTTCTCGTGATCACGCGGCTCACAATCCGTGTAAGATCTGCTGTTACCTAAAGATCATATTTCTGTAATACAAAAGCCGTACGAGAGTATTTTACACACACGGAGAATTCTTTAATAACAACCGATGTACCTTCAAAACTTAGTTACTATGTAACTTAAGAATGTTTATAATATATTTTGTTGCTTATTAAATTCGATTTACGTTACCAATATACGCAGGCTCTATCTCGATTCTAGTTTATTAATTTCTGCAAATCAATTTTCTTTCCATTACACATATAGTACACTTTATCCTAGGAATATTTTGGGAACATCCTTAGAGCGTAGAATGTCTTTGAACAGCCCTTGGAAATATGTACTTGGAGATATGTATAGAATATTTTTATAGGTCATATTATTTCTCCTGACATTATTATTATTATTTTCTCGGCATGCTAATTATTTCGCAGTGTAGAGTGTAGCCACAGAAAAAATCCTAATTGAAAGATAGGAAATATTTGAAATTACATTGTCGGCAAATAAAAAAATTTTTCAATATAAATAAGCAAAGAGATTCACATATTTAGCCAAGGCAAGTCTTGGTACTTAATAATATTTCTGCATAAATTTTTATAATTTTCAATTCAAACAAATTGTGTGTCAACCGATTTGTTGATTTTAAAACACACAATCTTAACTGAAACTGAAATGCATGTAGTATTACAAATTAAAAATGTCAAGCATTTCATATCACTGATGCTAATAAATATCTTTAAGACAACGTAAAAAGACTATTTTTTTATAATCAAATAAATGAACCAAATAAAGTGATCCTTAATCACTTTTGTTCATTGAAATATAAAAGAAATTTTAGTACATACAATCTGTGATTGTATGTACTTAGTACATACAATCTTTATGTTATTAAAATATTATTAAAATATTTATCAGGATGTCAATTTTTAATAGAAATATCTTTATCTTTTTTCAATCACTTTTACTCGCGAGATGGATTTCAAATTTTTCGTTCCTTTCCTTTCAATCATATGAAAGAGATATGTGACAACATATATAGCACACATGAGAAATCTAACTTTTATTCTGATTTTCAACTTGACATTTGAAATATAAGATGTAAACTTTCTTTAAAGTTTTTGTAAGCGGTTTACTTTCATGATGCAACAGCTATACATATAACAAAATTTATTTGATATATTTATACAACAGCTACGAAAAAAACACTAAATATTTAGATTTCCAAAAAGTCTTTTTATACATCATGTTTGATATTCAAAAAGTTGAAACACGTTTTTCTGTACAAAAATGACGCGTGTTACAATTATTTTGTTATATTTTGAATATCAGATATAATATAGAAAAAGACTTTTTAATGAAAAACAACGAAGCACAAATTATAGATTTTATTATCGAATAATATTATCGAAATCTTGTTATATTACCATATTACTCTTCGAAAATATAATTTTATTTTTTTTTATAAAATTTATTTTTTCGATAAGTCCTATTAAATCTTACAGGCTGTACATATATACAGAATTGTGATATTACTGTTATTCACAAAATCGCATGTACACGGGAGAAATCGGTCTATATTCATAAGGTATTTCGAAGTACTTTACAAGCATCCGCTGAAGTATATTTCCTAGCTAGCTACTGTACGCTGCGGCAAACAGGAATTTATGTGTTAGCGCATCTGGCAAACAAGAGCTCATGCTAACATGTTTGGAAAGTCTCATTACCTAAATTTACTTGCCTGACACGATATACGTTATACGCCAAAATTGTAGAAGAGAGAGTTAAGTGTAACGCAAGGCAATGATTAAAATGTCATTGACGTCGTCAAAGAGCGATTTATTCACGCGTCGTCTTCGGTATCGTTCCATGACATACAGTTTATTGAACTTCGATAGAACGAAAACAAACTGTAATTAATAAAAACGGGACGTTTCAATAAACTATACAAGTTCAGAACTAAAATTTTTCAGTGATAAAGGTTTTTTTTAACGAGATAATATGATATATGACGTTCAAATATTTCAAAAATGTGAAATAAAATAATTCGCGCGATTTTGTGAATAAAAATCTAACTCGCATTTTAAAACTCGGTATAAAAGATGCAGAAAGTAAGAGACCGAATTTTAAAGATATATTATAAATTATACATTTTTTCTCTTTCCTTTCCAAACAATATTTTTTATCTTTATGTCATTGGATAATAATATCGAAACTTTATATTTCAAATTTCATCGTTTCGTTGTTTAGATTTATCATAAACATATCGTATCATAATAATTGTATCAAATATTTCAAATTATATGTTTTTATGAGTATAATCTCCTTTTATCATTCGATAGCGCAGTATGGACACACCCACATTTTGGGTGCTTCACTCGGAAGTAATTTCCATCTATAGCGATGTATTTCTTGAAAAAAAAAAAAGTTTATTTTGAACGATTATAAATAAAAGTGTTATAAAAATATTATTGCACGAATAAATCACACCTATAAGTCTTTTTCTTTGATAACACAGATCAATTCAATAACAAAATTTGGCTCGTTTCCAGTAACGTCGTTCATTAAATACATTAATTAAAACAAAACTGTTCATGATTGTTTACTTTTTTGTTGTTACACACATAATTTAACACCATGATAAAAAAGTTTCAATTTATGTCCTCAAGTATCACAAAACCTTCTCACATAAATTTTTCGGATTAATCATTTTTTATTTTTGATGCAAGACATCATATATTTTATATGCATCAATTCGTCATCATTATTTCCCAAATTTTTTTTATTTAATTTTTAGTTCGTATTCCGTTACATTTTATCTTCTTATATCTTTCTATTTTTTATTTATTATCAAAAATAATTTTAAATGTTGCTAACGTACATATATTGCCTTTTTAAAATCTATAAAAATTATTGTAGTAATTAAGAAATTACACTAGTGTGTAATAATTGCGTTTTTTAAATTATATAAATATAATTTTCCTTACATAAATATAAATTTCCATTATAAAACTTGTATTTCTCACGAATTCACTCATTCACGGCTCAATATATGTGTATAATTATTACGATGTCACTTTATTTTCACGAATTTCTTATTATTGCAATAATGAAATGTCGTGCAATCGATAAATCCGTAAATTCGGCAAATCCATAAATTCATAAATTCCTATAATTTCATAATGTGTTCGAACAGCTTAGTTATTGGAAGCTCGAGAAGCTCTGTATACACTGATTAATTTGGGTGCCTCAACATATAATAACGTTTAAATTTCATTATGCAATGATATACAGTCTATAAAGAATTTTGTATCTTTATCGATTGTTAAAGAATTCTTTTCTACAATGACAAAATAATTTTATGAAAGCATGCTAAATTGTCACGTAACGGTCGTAAAATAGAAAACAGCTAAAACACTAATTTGTTTGACGCAGCGATAATCAATTTTCTACATTAACCTGTCTCATATACAATTTAAAAAAATGTAACTGATTATGTTTGTAACATAACGTACGTGCATCCCCAATAAAGAACAAATTAAAGAATAAAGTTCAGTTGCAAATTTATTTATTATAATGACAGATGCATAATCGTAAATCAAACTTTTATAAAAAATAATTAAAATTCGCGTAACTTTAGACATGCTAACAAAAACCAAAATTTATACATACTGTGTTGTACCATTTGAAATACCATCACGCGATCACTCCTCGATCGTAATCAAAACATTTTCTTCATTTTAAAAGAAAGTTGGAGAAAGTCTATTTTGATCAAATTCTTTTCATGAATGCTATAATATGCTATGAAGTTTCCATCATCATCAGAATATTGTTTGACACGCGATAATTACTAGATTATTATTCCCATACGCCGTCAATACGATACACAATGCGCGTTTATAAGACCCGAAATAATAGAGATTCACCCTCTTCGCGCTGCAACGTAACCGACCTTCCCATGCACATCGGTCCACATTAGCAGAACTATTCTTACGTTCACCGACATTTCTCTCCGCGCACATAGCACACCATCGACGCGCGACGTGAATCCGCGCTAATTTTCACCTGCCGACCCAACCCTCTCGATCATGCATATTCCTACATATATCTCGTCGATGGACTCTTGGCCACCCCTCATCGGCGATTATGTCACCGCAGTCGCGCTCACGTTCGCAGGTGTTCCGCGGCCTTATCGCGTTATCCTCTCACCGGAGATCTTAACAACCCTCCTGACCTGATCAGGCTACGCACGGCACGGCAGCAGCAGCAGCGGAGCCGGCGCCGAGAGGCCACCACACACCACGGTGCCACCACCGTGGGACGCGCGTTTTCGTGTGGATGTGGAAGGACTGACAGTGGCGGTGGCGGCGGCTCGGCACTACTCGCGAACTCGCGCCGTTCGGGAGCGAGTACGCGTTCCCTGGGACATGTATTGGCGGGTAGGAAAGCTCCACCTATCGCGCGACCAAGTGGGAGGGCACAGGAAGACCCGGAGCTTGCGCCCTCCGACTGGCCCGCGCACCAAGCACAACCCCTTCCTTGGCTTTTTCCCAACTTTCGAGCTTGTGGTGCGCTCTTCTCTCTCTCTCTCTCTCTCTCTCTCTCTCTCTCTCTCTCTCTCTCCCTCTCTCTCTCTCTCTCTCTCTCTCTCTCCCTCCCTCCCTCCCTCCCTCTCGCATGCGCGCGCGCACGCACACACACACACACACACACACACACACACACACACACATACACACACACATCCCCTCTTGTTCTATCTCTTCAACCCTCTCCTCGCCATCGCTCGCCGCCGTCATTACCATCGCCGCTACCACCCTGCAACCCTGCGAGCTTTCGCCTTTCTCCATCCCCTCG